CGCTGGGGCGGTCGGGTTGCCTAGTGGTTAAAGCGTTCGCTCGGCACGCCGAAGACCCGGGTTCGATTGCCGACATGGGTACAATATGTGAAGCCCATTTCTGGTGTCCCCCGCCGTGATATTGCTGGAATATTACTAAAAGCGGCGTAAAACCATACTCACTCACTCAAACCCCGCTGACGACACGTTTTCCGAAATCATTCACTAGTCGAAATAATTCAAAAATAGTTCCGTCAATTCCAAGTGCAAATTGACTGAAATGGTGATTCAAGATAGTGTATACGTGACAAACCATTCTCCATTCGTGAAAAATACTGGAGCGTTTAAACAATACCATAACGTCACAGATGTGTTTTAATGTATAGATACACTTTACGGCTGGACTGGCACAGTCGGTTGTTTATGAAGTGTGCTGGTTTTATGTGTTATCACAATGTCAAATAAACTTGTCTTCACATGTATTATTACAAATTTGTTGTTTGCCAAAGCCCCCCCCCCCCCCCCCCCCCCCCCCCCCCCCCCCCCTCTCTAAAAACTTGTTGGACCAGGACAATGTATTACACACAAACATTGTTGGGGTCATTTACAGTGACGGAGTACATGAGACATGACACACATTCCCTGAAAGTCTTGTAGATTGTGCATGTTCCCTGTGAGATACTCACCCTGTAACGTGCACACCGGTGTCATGTAACACCCGAACATGACATTTAGATTATGATTATGAATACACAAGTCTTGAAATACTACTTAATGTCTCTTTGTTTAGGAATGAACGACTCTTTTTGCATATTATAGATTCACCTGTCGTCCTTGTAAATTGCAATGTAAAAGTAAATTATTGCATAAATCATTATTCGCCCAAAACACTGTTAAATAGACACGATTCTCACATTTTTACTTTTCCCCTATAAACATCGTTTCCGCCTCTGTATAACCTATATTTAAAAGAAGCACGGCAATAAGTCTCAGGTATTCTGAGACGGCAGCTGTCACTCAACTGTCACACTGACGTATGTGCCACAATACACCGCTCGCCGTCCTCGGACTTCGCTGTGCGTACAGCGGCAGTCACTCACACAGATCCTGAAGTTGACCTATCCGAAATGTCCCAGTTAAGTCTGCATTCCTTACATTCTGAAAAAGAGGAGATTATCTGGGTCTCTTAATCATCTTTAGTATCTTAAGACAATTTACAAAAACAAAATCCTAAAACACTACAGTGGTAAAACGGCATTATAACTTAATTGTTTTAATAAGAAACGTTTCCTGACCAAGTCAAAACACATTTCACACTTTCGAAGCGTGTGTGTCTGTGTGTGTGAGCGCGTGCGCCCGTGCGTGTGTGGATATCTGTTTCAGTGCGCGTGTCAGTGTGTGTGTGTGTGTGGAAGTGCATGTGGGTATGTGTGTGTTGGTGCCTGTCTTGTGTGGATGTGTGTGTTGGTGCCTGTCTTGTATGTATGTGTCATGTGTGTTTGTGTGTGTGGATGTGTGTGTTGGTGCCTGTCTTGTGTGTATGTGTGTTTGTATGTGCGCATGTGCGTCCACATTGCGGTGAAACAGGTACAAAACGCCGTTGCCATTTGAGTCGAAACACCGGTACATTGTTTCTGTGCAGGAAATAGTGAAACCTGATGTATAATATTTCAGGAAATTTTGGGCCGGTGTACATAATGCTTAAACTTATTAATGCCAAACCCCGTCAGTTTTAATGAGACATGGTTGTACCTCTTTATGGCGCGTGACAAGCATGAGGCATATACTACCCTCATTTGACAGATACATCAATCACATACATTTAAGTACAGTAACAAAAAATAGTTTTTAAATCCTTCTGAAAACGTATGTTCATGTACGTGTTTATTTCCTCTAAAGAAGCGTTTTGTTATACGAACTATATGCGGCGGGATCTGGCGTTACACGGTTTACAGTGGATTCATGCAATATCACTACTCCACTATAGTAGGAAGCCGAGTGAACGCGATGGGACTACTTATTGCATACATTGTCACAGGAAACAAGGAGTATAAACATTATTATCACAGTTGCAAAATACATCGTTACAGGTTCTGCAAGACGCACCTCACATTCAATGTATCAGTCTTGTGTGTAGATCTGACACCGGAGTCTGACATCTGCCCTGTTTTGCAAGACGCACCTTATATTCAATACAACAGTCTTGTTGCTAAAATACTTTGCGGAAATATAACATGCAGGTATCCGGTTTCAGCGACACGCCCTGCAGCTTTTCTTTCAGAGTGTTGTGGCATTTGGGATTTCGATACGGCTCTTGTACACTGGGGTTTGGGAACTGTTCTTTAACTACAAGTTGGTTGCATGTATTGATTTGACAATCTAGTTTCGAGCGACTGAACCGGAAGCTGTTTGGGGATATACGAACTATATACTTCGTTTCGATACCTGTAAGTTTTTAAGTTTGAAACCTCAATCTATCGCGTTCGGATTCGAATAATATTTTCAGTTATGGAATCTACGTTTGAAACCTCTAAATTGTTCTTCTCCTAAATGAATGAAGAATCTTGCATGACGAACTTTATACAGAGGGAGGATAGGAATAGAGAATCTGACCCGAGTGTCCTATGATATGAAGTATTATACATCAACACAACTCGATAAGAGTTTAAAACTCCCGGGCTTGCAAACATCTTTCAGTCGTCGGTTCCAAATGAGATTTCTGGATCTCAATTAATGAATGTTTAATAAAACCTTCAAAATTTATCTGAAATAATATTTGTTTTCTCAGATTCATGTTATTTGGAAATACCCTACATGCCACTATGAGATTTTCTGCTCCAAGCTTTTTAAGAGATTTAATATTGTAAGTTCAGAGCCTAAAGAATATGTGAAAACGTGGATTTCCCGATGTCAACCAGAGACATCATCGGCGTTAGTCTATTGTTAGAAAGACATTACATAACCATCTATGAGCAATATAATTTGCAATGATTTGAAACAATGCGTTCATAGGACGTCACGTTGCTTTGGGCCTTTTCGCAAACAATGAAAACAATCGAACCATTAGAATGAACTAGCCAATCAGTGTGAAGCGAAAATGAGGCAAAACTTTTAATGCTTAGTGAGAAATACTGAAACTAAGACTACCTTTCCTAGTGCCCCTTAAATACTATATCTGTTATCAAGGTGTCGGGAAGTCAGTACATATGTTCGTAGTTTCGTTTAAGCGTTCAGCTCTTGAATAATATATAGACTCTGCTGTGGATAAGTTGATGTTTTTTTATTACTTACAGGCCGACGTCAGATAGCTGCTGGACCTTTGCGGCTTCAAACAACAGACAAATGAAACAACATAAAGAGTAATAGTATTCAGCTTTGACAGATACAATGAGCATTACATTACCGAGTGACAATAGCGAGATTCCGAGTGTCGAATGAATTGTGTTTGTCAAACCCAAATAAACCTTGTGTTTTGAACTTCCGACCTTTTGTCACTTTTCGTCAATAAGAGGCCTCAGAGGTTACTGCTTGGGGTAACCTATTGGTTTGCTCGTTACTCCGAGACCTTGGTTGGATGTTCAACCTAGGTCACTGTTAAAAGCTCTGATGTGGCTGGAATATTGCTAAATTCTGACCTTCTGTCATACGCTGTGCATGTGTCAATGAGTGAACTGTCTGTTATGCTCGTTACTCCGAGACCTTCTGTCATACGCTGTGCATGTGTCAATGAGTGAACTGTCTGTTATGCTCGTTACTCCGAGACCTTCTGTCATACGCTGTGCATGTGTCAATGAGTGAACTGTCTGTTATGCTCGTTACTCCGAGACCTTCTGTCATACGCTGTGCATGTGTCAATGAGTGAACTGTCTGTTATGCTCAGCACACCTTCTTAGTCCTACTCGCATTCTATGAAAAAATCGACCACTTGCTGTTCTGAATTATTCACGTACAAACCTCATAATACACAGAACTTCTTACTCTGCTGCACAATGTATCCCCACCAACAGGGTAGGAATTTCAAAATCTTTTAAAAGGAATTGTACAGTTTTTCACATTTACTAATCTATCTGCGTTACATAATTTTAATAAGCAAGTCGATTACAAAAACTAGAATGAAGATATTTCTTTACAATTATAGCTTCTGGTGGAGACGCCGGTAACTGACGGAATGTTTACCCTCGTTGAGGTAAATTGAGCAATAAGATATACCCCTTCTAGGGATATCGTTCGCAAGGGTATTCTATGGGCAACACAGGTCTTCCCCAGTATTAACTGCGTATTTCGAGAACTTTCTAACGAGAATCAGCTGGTCACAATGAGTGACTTGTCAGGTTGCGTGCATCTCTCTCCGACGGTGCCGGACGTTGCTGCCAACAACTGTTCTTTCTGGAGTTATTGATGGACCGCCCGGATGTAGCTGGAATATTGCCGACTGGGGTGTTAAACAAATATTTCACTCTCTGGAGATTTCTGGGTAATACGTTCAAGCTTGTCGGAAGAGCCAAACAGAATGGTCATTGGTTGGAAGTATGTCGTGCCAGATCGTGTTATTGCACTCCGACTGTGTAGACTGCAACAATCAACTCTCGGATACCTGACAGTAATATAGCTGCAGTGATACAGACCTCAATGACCCCCCACCCAAACCCCCCACCCCACCCCGTGTCGACCCGGGTCAGAATGTGTCATCAGCACCCCACACATCGAGCACGAATTGGGCTACCCGTGAATTGGTCTTCAGCAACCCTGCGTAGATAGATGCTCATGATGCCAATTACTCTATTGACTGGTCCAGACTCGATTATCAATAGTATTTAAAGACCGCCGTCATATAGCTGGGATATTGCCCATATGTAAATAAAATAGGTTACCGACCGGAAGGGCAAACCATACATGACATAATTTGTCATAAGCCCCAGCATTGTTTACACAATAACGCTAGCGTGAGCCGAGAGCAGGGGACGGGGGGATGAAGGACTGGAATATATCAACAAGCTGACGTTTACTTCAAGAAAGGACATAAACACGTGGCTTTATAAATGAGAGGCGAGCTGACAGGAATTCCCATAAAAGCCACCAAAGCCATCATCTAGAACACCAACCGTCGTCCGGACCACAACAAAATTATTGCGCAGCCATTTTGAAATTTTGAAATTTGAACCGGACTGAAGTCGGTTGTGTTCATTCGCTGCTGCGGAATGTTCTTATTGCTGTTTTCTCTTGTGACGCTGATTCATGTTGTTGTGCCCCATGGGAGGATAATAGACCCCCCGGGGAGATCGACCATGTGGAGGTATGGCTTCGACACACCCCAAAACTACGACGACAATGCCCTTTTCTGCGGTGGTCGCGCGGTAAGTAGACAGTCAACCGTTGACAAACACATGTATGTATACATACAGCAGGGATGATGCAAACTGACGCCTCTACAGTATTGATTTCCTATTTGTAGGAAGATATTCATGAGGCTGCCAACCCTCTTTTTGGTACGCGGTATTCGGAGTGTATTTAGAGGGTATTCAAGACGCGGGACGCAAATACAATCGTAGTGAGTACGCAGATACAACATTAAAACATGAATAATGATGTACACTCTTCAAAAAGAGAAACGCAAAGGTAGTATGTTGTTCAGTGAACCTGACTTCACAAAAAAACGTATATAATATGGATATATGTTAATTGAAAATATTGGTTGCCTGATATTAGAGAAACGGTGCGTCAAAACGCAGCCATTGTCGATTTGCAATGTCTTAATTGTTACACACTTGTTAAAAAATGCCATGAAGGAAAACAGTAAAGCAAAATTCACGTGCAAGTTATGGCATTCGTAAGTCGTGATAGTGGCTATAAAAAGGCAAGCATAAGCTAATAATTTGTCATTCAATTGTCAACATGTTTGAAGTTCGAAAATGCGGAGACTCAGCGCTGCCGATCGGAACATCGCCATAGGACGTATCCAAAGAGGGGAATCGCAGTCTTCTGTTGCATGCCACTTCAATGTCCATCTTAGTACCATTTGCCGCCGTTGTGACCGATACACACAGTTCAATACTACTGCAGACCGTCCGAAAACTGGCCGAGAGTTACCACCCCTGCACAGGATCGCTACATTGGACTGTTCTACCTACGTCATCGCAATGCCACAGATAGGGAGGCTGCAGGACGCAACCCTGGTTTGAGGAGGATATCGGACCAGACTGTCAGGAACCATCTCCGCGAGACTTGAATCCGAGCATCGACAGCGACGCTTGCGTTGGTGCCATACCGTACAGCCTTGGAATTTGAGAAACTGGAGACGAGTGTGGTTTAGCGACGAATCACGATTTCTGGAAGACAACATGTTTATCGTCGTCGAAATGAGCGTTTTGCCCCACATTGTGTACGTGAATTGGGGGGGGGGGGGGGGGGGGGGGGGGGGGTCCCACACCACGAGATCTGACTTGGTTGTGGTTCAGGGAAATCTGAGAGCAAATTGCTACATCGCTACATGAATCAAATTCTTCAACCTCACCTTCTTCCAATCATTGACCACCAGAGGAAGCTGTTTTAACAGGACAACGATCCATCGCACACAGTTCGTGTCACCGTAAACTACCTTCATAATGCCAACATCAACGTTTTGCCCTCCGGATCAAACGAACACCTCTGGGATTTACTCAATCGACATGTACGTCAACGTCAGAACACGCCGCAGGCACTCCCACAAACTGATCAACGCGTGACAAGCAGAATTCAGCAGAATTCAGCAGGACAGAATTCGTGTACTTATCCAGTCAGTGCCGAGGAGATGCAGAGCCGCGATTGCTGCCCGGGGCGGTCACACGAGATACTGAGTTCAGCACAACCCTGTGGCCGTATGTGACATGACAATGAACAGTTTTCAATGCCTTTGTACAATGACAACATGTGACTATCGAACTCCAAAAGTTCATATTTGTATCTATGATATTAAATAAAATATATCGACTTTATTAGGTACAATAGATTTACTAAAAATCATTCTGTGAGTTTCTTTTTTTTTAAAGTGTACGTTACAATGTCTTTTATATATCATTTTTTTTTTTTTTTCGATAAATGTTTTTAGAAATTCATCTTTAAATTGCACCCTTTACTCAATGCTTTTGAGCTTTGTGTTAAACAGTATTCGGGATTACAGGGGTGAGCAATGAGGATCAGAGTGCAAACTTAGATGGTATTGGGGATCAGGGTTGAATGATGAGGATCAGAGTGCAAACTTTGATGGTATTGGGGATCAGGGTTGAATGATGAGGATCAGAGTGCAAACTTTGATGGTATTGGGAGTCAGTGTTGAATGATGAGATTCAGAGTGCAAACTTTGATGGTATTGGGAATCAGGGTTGAATGATGAGATTCAGAGTGCAAACTTTGATGGTATTGGGAATCAGGGTTGAATGATGAGATTCAGAGTGCAAACTTTGATGGTATTGGGAATCAGGGTTGAATGATGAGATTCAGAGTGCAAACTTTGATGGTATTGGGGATCAGGGTTGAGAGATGAGAAACACCACCGCATGCATATATTTAACGTATTTGTTGACATTACCATGTTTTCAGAATGCACACAATCTCCCATGCTGATGGAGTTCTTAATATTGTTTCATGTTTTTAAAAATAACATTTTCCCTAATCGTCACAGTTGTGCAGTAATTGAGAAGCGATATAATCCCTGTACATCACCAGGTGAACAAAGAGAAATATGTTTCGACAAAAACTAACAAGCAAATCCAGAAGAAAGAAAATACGAGTTCAGGTTTCAGGCTCGGCTATACGTGTTTTACTTCTAACAGTGAATATTCATGGTATCGGGGCAATGTGTATATTCTGACAGGTGGGGCTTTATTAGCTATTCTTTATTAACCTGTCCCTCACCTGTACGTTTCCTCACACGCAGTATAAGCCATTTAACCATCTGTCTTTCCATAAAAGACATCCACCATCTTGGTCCGCAACTCGAACATCCTGTCAGAATAACAAAAATGAAACTAGCCCTTGACATGTTGGCTTCAGAATGTTTCGTACATTCATGTACTGTGTTAGTGGAAGAAAGCAACATACGTCGGTATTTCGGTATAACGATGTGTTTGTTGCTTTGTTGTTTAACGCCGCACTCAGGAATATTCCAGCCATATGACGGCGGTCTGTATAATAATCGAATCTGGGCCAGACAATCCTGTGATTGACATCATGAGCATGGATCCTGGCAATTGGGATACGATGACATGCATCAACCAAGTCAGCGAGCCTGACCACCCGATCCCGTTCGTCGCCTCTTTAAACAAGCATAGTCGCCTTTTATGGCAAGCATGGGTTGCTGAACTTCTATTCTACCCCGGATCTTCTCGGGTCTTAATAATGCTGTGTTTCCAAAGAGAGTTTACATTATCAAAAAGAATCTCTCGGCCCCTGATTGACACGCGAGTCTTTCGTGTTGCACGTTCGACAAGTGCCGGACGAGCCTATATTTGCATATGGGGTTAATAAATAAGTTGGCCGTTTTTGTCGATGATGTTCCGTTTCTTAAGATTGGCAAGGTAGTCTTTCGGTCGTTGTGTCGGAAAATGTAATACATTTACGACAACCTCATAAACCTGTACTTACCTGATAGAGGTTCGGTTTTTGTTTTGTTCAATCCCATTTATAAGCCGCCGTGACGTAGTTGAAATATTACTGACTACAGCGTCAAACGACACTCACTCGATCCCTGATGTGTAAAGACTTACAATATTTCTACACACACGAGATAGATCTTATTTACCACAGTTCTCTATTAAATGTTTCTTTAAAGCAAACAACAATTCATTCAAATACAAGTCCCATGTTTATAAGGTGAGTTCTGTTTGAGGTGGAGACTGACCGACATGTATGTTAACAATGCCCATGACTGGTGCTCGTTCCACACCTATTTTTACAATAGGCACCTCCTAACTAAAACTGGAAGTTTGTATATAATGTTGGAGGCGAAGTCAGTGTAACAACTATTTAGGTGTAGGTGGGTTTGTTTGGGTGTGTGGACAGAATGATGTAAAGCGTTGGCAGGTAACGCAGTCTAACTGATTATATTTTGGATAACCTGAAAGCAAATCACCACAATCAAGTATATTGTTTTTGTCTCTATCAGCTCATCTATTTGGAGTTTGTTCATATATATCGTACGAATTTCCGCTGGCTCCATCAAATTTGTGAAAGTCTATAATTTATGTCCCCATGCCTTCCACGTTGAGCCGACATAGCGCCCAACCCGTAGTTTGACGCGGTGTATTCAACTATTCAACTGATCAATATTACACCTTGCCCACCGTCATGCAAACTTATACAAGGTGACCTGTCTCATAGTGTTTTCATTTTTCTTTCGAAAGCGTTGTTAATAAAACCATCTCTTATATTAAAGTATATTTAAGAAAGAAATACTTCAGCCATGATATGAAAAAAGGTTGACATTTACGATGCATGCTAAATACATTTCTGTACGGCCTCCATTGTGGACTGATGACACGGATGGCCCAGTCGTTTAAGGCACCGTAATTCACTGTGCAGAGTTGCGTCCCTTGGGCACATCAGACATCTATGATCCTGGGTTCGAATCCCGTTTCGCCACATTTACGTAACTAGGTTTATCAGCACCGTGGGTTTCACCAAAGCGGTAAACGTCTGAGACCTGCATCACTTCTGGCTTTCCCCCACATAAAGCTGACATGCCGTGATATAACTGGAATAATGTTCAAAGCGGCGTTAGACCAAACTCACCCGACTATTGCAGATTTAAAGAGAGACACGGTTACATGCATCAGGCGAGGGGTGCAGGGGATTTAACGAATGGAAAGGTCTTCTTCACTACGCGTGTACATTACGCGTGTACATGCTACAGGACCTTTTTTCGGCGAAATATTTGTGCTTGACAATATGACCTGTCCGGCCGGCATCCTTTAACTCGAATTGCAAACAGGTCAGTTGTGTCTCATCAAACATTATGACGTCAAGACTCGATTAATTACAGACCTCCGCCACATAGTTGGAATATTGCTGAGTGCGGAGTTAAACAACACACAACAAACAACAAACAAATTCTGTTTCGTAACGTATCAACGCGTTGTTTCAGCACCAGTGGGAGCATATGAACGGCCTGTGTGGGCTCTGTGGTGACCCCTATGACCAACGACCTCGACCTCACGAAGCTGGCGGCAAATACGCCAAGGGCATCGTGACCGAGACCTTTCTCCAAGGGCAGATAATCAACGTAAAGATCGAGGTGACTGCTAATCACGGTGGCGTCTTTGCGTTCCGCCTGTGTCCCCTACTCTGGTACATGGGCGAGGCCAATGAGCCGTGCTTTGAGCGGAACCAACTTCGACTTGTTGACGGGAGCAGCAAGTTCATCATCCCTCCCCCAGCTGTAGCCCGGGTGTACTCCATCCCCCTAGTGCTCCCACAGGGCGTCATCTGTACCAGGTGCGTCATCCAGTGGACGTGGACGACAGGTGAGGAGCAACAATAGATAATTACCATCACTTTGGGCTTCATTGGTCACATTACAAAGTGTTTTGATTTAAACATATTTTATTCAGATTGAAATGGATTGGGAACAAGTTATCCAACTTAGGACTCCCTCTCCATGGTATTTACAAAGCTTGTACAGTAAATCATATACAAGGAAAACAGAAAAGAAGATTAGTGTAAAGATAACAAGAAATGTTCAAAAGAGAGAGACTAGTATATGTAAATTAAAGTGTTACCCAAATCTCTTTGTATGACTTATAAACATTTGCACTGCTTTAAAGATGTGTTGATTTTCGATAATGGACAAACATTCATTTCTGTTTAACATCAAATTTAAATCTAATTTAGCATTTTTGTTCACGGCGTTCTGTAAAATGTCCCGAATTATTATTAACATAGTTTTTCTTTGGTGGACGTACAATGGACAATTTAATAAATAATGATATGCGTTTTCACATGGATCACCACATTGACATATTGGATCACATTTTACCTCTATTCTGTATAAATCATAATTTAACTGGCTTTTCATGTATCTTAATCGAGTATGATAAATATTCAACTTTCTAACACCATAGGAAAAATATGGAGGTGCAATGACTTGCTCTTTTTGTATGTATGTCTTGAATTGGGATGTAGATGTACAATTTCTACCTGCTGCAGGAATAGTGTTCCATAACCTTACAGTTGATGGAATAAAAGAACACGTTGAGTGTTTTAATCTAGTATATGGAATCCCAATATTGTCTGAATTTCTTAAATAATGTGATATATTTGAACCTACAGTGGTTGGTACAATGTCTTTAAGATAAGTTGGGGCAATATTACTTTGTATTTTGTAGAACAAACATAGCTTGCGTTTCCTTCTTCGTTCTATTAACGTTTCCCATCCTGTTACATAATACAGATGTGTGTGCGAAGTATACTTTGGGAGCCCAGTAACTACTCTGGCAGCTTCTAGTTGGAGATTTTCTAACTGAGTTGATAATTCTATATTACACCCATCCCACACTTCACACGCATATTCGAAATGGGGTCTTATGAAGATTGTATATACTTTATTTAGTGTATTTCTGTTCAATATGAATTTTAATTTTCTCATTGAATTTATCATTTTTGATGTTGACTTAATTATGTTATCTACGTGACAGGACCATTTACCGTTTGATGCAAACGTTATACCCAAATGTTTATGATTTTGAACATTCTTAACTTTACATTCATCAAAGTACAAGGTAATGAGGTCTGATTCATCTTTTAAGGAAAATATAACCGCTTTTGTTTTATCTGGGTTGTATTTAATTAACCAGCGTTTTGCCCAGTTACACAGCTTGCTCAGATTTAAATTTAGAGTTGATTCAACAAGTTGATTGTCTGGTGAAGAAAAGCCGAGTGCTGTATCGTCAGCAAAGAGTCTTGTTATGCAATCTAATTCATCAGCAATGTCGTTAACAAACACAATGAATAAAAAAGGGACCTAACACCGACCCCTGTGGAACGCCAGCCTTCAAAATCCTTGGCTTGGATAAAGCGCCGCTTACAAACACTGATTGAGTACGATTGCTTATGTAACTGGACAGCCATTCAAGTAAATTCCCTTTTATACCATACATTTCTAATTTGTACATAAGCCCTCTATGCCAGACACGATCAAATGCTTTTGACACATCGCAAAAAAACATGCAATATTTTTCTCTATTATCTAAAGATATACAAATTTGATTATACAATTCATTTAATTGATGGACAGTGGAATGGCCTTTTTGAAAGCCCGACTGGTATTTATATAACAATTTATTGTCATGAAAGTAGTTATAAAGATGCTTAAATACAACTCTTTCAAATACTTTACCTATACAACTAATGAGTGATATTGGTCTGTAATTTGTCACAACTGAATGATCTCCTATCTTATACAATGGCATGACATGCGCTCTTTTCCATTCTGTTGGATATGCATTTAAAGCCAATGAATGATTGAATAACATACATAAAACAATACTAATGCTGTTTACTGTTTTCTTTAATAGGTTGTTACTTATTCTGTCTGGACCAGATGCCTTGTTAATTTGAAGACATTTTATAACGTCAGATATTTCATTTTCTGAGACAGTTAATTTGTCAAAAATACTCTTAGTGCGTTGATTGAAATATGGTAATTCTTCCCGTTCTTCTGTTAGGGTAGATATGGATTGGAAATATTCATTTAATCTCTCTGATTTTTCTAAATCTGAAAATATAGTGGGACAGTCATCGGTATCTTGTTTCCTTAACGGGGGGATGCTCGTAGATCATCGTACAAAGTGTTCCAGATACAAGTTCCAGAAATCACCAGAAACAACCCCCTTCAGAAAATGGATTTTATGGAAATTATCCACCCCTAAACACGTGATGTGCTCTCCAATCATTAACATCTTTAGACTACCACCTAATTAACTGAAGTCCTTTGCTCTACGACCAGTCTTCAAATCAGCGCCCGCCTTAAGGAATGATCCTCCATACATAATGAAATACACTGACGATGTGGACACATTCAAATCCAGACTTAAAACACATGTATTTTGATCTGTATAAGTCCCTGTTTTCACTCACTTGTATACATCAAGTATGTACGTTTCACTTATATTCACCTTGTAACGACTTGAGCATATCCCACGGCGTTGAATAACGCATATATACAAAAACATTATCATTATAATAATGTTCTGAAAAAGGTGTGTTGGATTAAGAATAAAAGTTTGTGAAGAGAAAAAAACATGTTTTGAAGCAATGACCGAAAACATATCCTGTCTGTAACAAAAGGTTACTCCTCCCTATGTGTGTGTGAATGTGTCGTTGCTGGGAACACTTACTGCTGCAAGATGTCTCACGGATTTATTTCTCTCAGTATTTATAACGACTGTTTCAGCCAACTCGTGGGGTTGTGACGACAACACAGAGTGCTGCATTGGGTGTGGTCCCCAGGAGCAGTTTGTCAACTGTGCAGACATCGCAATCATCCCCGTCAGACAGGGCCAACGATTCCGACCGCCGATGCCAGTAAAGCCAACCCCTACCCGTGTGGTTCAGAGGGACAAGAAGATCGTGGTATACGGCTCCGACGGTAAACCTGTGCCCACCCCAGGGCCCGCAAGACGACCAATCGACACCAAGCCAGCCCCAGTCAACAGTCAGTACCAGCAATGGCAAAATCCTAGTTCAGGGCCTCAGCCTTACAGACCTCCGAGGCCTGCTCTACCGCACGTGTATAACTCGTATATCCCCAAACAGCCTCAGATACAAGCGTTTCAAACTGGTTTGTCAAATCAATACATGGAACCATCTTACAGTTCAAGAACAGTCCCCAAACCCAAGCCTCAGCCCCGCCCTCAGCCTGTCTCACCCCAAGTGTACAATGCATACATCCCCAAACCGCAAACAGTTACGTCGCGTCAAACCGGTTCAAATCCTCACGTGGGGCAACCTTATAGTTCACGAGCCGTATCGAACCGCCAAATGTCTCCACCCCCTGCAAGAAGAGCCCCAACGGGACCTGTCGCTGAAAGTGGATACGGAAGTCCGAAGGCAGCATCCTTGTCCGATGTGCCTAGTACCCTTTTAAGCCAACTTGCATCTCTCATGAAGAGTGGAAAACCGCCAAGCTGCCATCCTAAATTCCAATCTCTCAACGTTGATTGCAACAGAAACTGTGCGCCGAGTGGGAATCACTGTCTCGCTAGGAAACCCTCCGAGTCTCTCAACACTGCCTGCATGTTACTGTGCTCCGTCGCCATGTGACACCTGCAGTGTACCAGTACAATTATAGTTGTGTGTTTATGACAATGATGGATCAAGTACGTCAGCATTTGTCGTGTGATGAATGTTAACCACTGTTCGTATATGTGTATGTGTATATTTCCGGAAAGTATTTTAGCAGCAAGACTGATGCATTGAGCGTGAGCGTGTCAGATCGACACACAAGACTGATGTGTGGAATGTGAGGAGCGTCTTGCGGGACAGAACATATGACAGACTCCGGTGTCAGATCTACACACAAGACTGATGTGTGGAATATGAGGTGCGTCTTGCAGAACAGAACATAGGTCAGACTCCTGTGTCAGATCTACACACAAGACTGATGTGTGGAATGTGAGGTGCGTCTTGCAGAACAGAACATAGGTCAGACTCCTGTGCCAGATCTACACACAAGACTGATGTGTGGAATGTGATGAGCCTCTTGCAGAACAGAACATAGGTCAGACTCCTGTGCCAGATCTACACACAAGACTGATGTGTGGAATGTGAGGAGCGTCTTGCAGAACAGAACATATGTCAGACTCTTGTGCCAGATCTACACACAAGACTGATGTGTGGAATGTGAGGAGCGTCTTGCAGAACAGAACATATGTCAGACTCTTGTGCCAGATCTACACACAATACTGATGTGTGGAATGTGATGAGCCTCTTACAGAACAGAACATAGGTCAGACTCTTGTGCCAGATCTACACACAAGACTGATGTGTGGAATGTGAGGTGCGTCTTGCAGAACAGAACATAGGTCAGACTCCTGTGTCAGATCTACACACAAGACTGATGTGTGGAATGTGAGGTGCGTCTTGCAGAACAGAACATAGGTCAAACTCCTGTGTCAGATCTACACACAAGACTGATGTGTGGAATGTGATGAGCCTCTTGCAGAACAGAACATATGTCAGACTCCCGTGCCAGATCTACACACAAGACTGATGTGTGGAATGTGAGGTGCGTCTTGCAGAACAGAACATATGTCAGACTCCTGCGTCAGATCTACACACAAGACTGATGTGTGGAATGTGATGAGCCTCTTGCAGAACAGAACATATGTCAGACTCCCGTGCCAGATCTACACACAAGACTGATGTGTGGAATGTGAGGTGCGTCTTGCAGAACAGAATATAGGTCAGACTCCTGTGCCAGATCTACACACAAGACTGATGTGTGGAATGTGATGAGCCTCTTGCAGAACAGAACATTGGTCAGACTCCTGTGCCAGATCTACACAAAAGACTGATGTGTGGAATGTGAGGTGCGTCTTGCAGAACAGAACATAGGTCAGACTCCTGTGTCAGATCTACACACAAGACTGATGTGTGGAATGTGAGGTGCGTCTTGCAGAACAGAACATAGGTCAGACTCTTGTGTCAGATCTACACACAAGACTGATGTGTGGAATGTGATGAGCCTCTTGCAGAACAGAACATATGTCAGACTCCCGTGCCAGATCTACACACAAGACTGATGTGTGGAATGTGATGAGCCTCTTGCAGAACAGAACATAGGTCAGACTCCTGTGCCAGATCTACACACAAGACTGATGTGTGGAATGTGAGGTGCGTCTTGCAGAACAGAACATAGGTCAGACTCCTGTGCCAGATCTACACACAAGACTGATGTGTGGAATGTGATGAGCCTCTTGCAGAACAGAACATAGGTCAGACTCCTGTGCCAGATCTACACACAAGACTGATGTGTGGAATGTGAGGTGCGTCTTGCAGAACAGAATATAGGTCAGACTCCTGTGCCAGATCTACACACAAGACTGATGTGTGGAATGTGATGAGCCTCTTGCAGAACAGAACATAGGTCAGACTCCTGTGTCAGATCTACACACAAGACTGATGTGTGGAATGTGAGGTGCGTCTTGCAGAACAGAACATATGTCAGACTCCTGTGTCAGATCTACACACAAGACTGATGTGTGGAATGTGATGAGCCTCTTGCAGAACAGAACATAGGTCAGTCTCCTGTGCCAGATCTACACACAAGACTGATGTGTGGAATGTGAGGTGCGTCTTGCAGAACAGAACATAGGTCAAACTCCTGTGTCAGATCTACACACAAGACTGATGTGTGGAATGTGATGAGCCTCTTGCAGAACAGAACATATGTCAGACTCCTGTGCCAGATCTACACACAAGACTGATGTGTGGAATGTGAGGTGCGTCTTGCAGAACAGAACATAGGTCAGACTCCTGTGCCAGATCTACACACAAGACTGATGTGTGGAATGTGAGGTGCGTCTTGCAGAACAGAACATAGGTCAGACTCCTGTGTCAGATCTACACACAAGACTGATGTGTGGAATGTGATGAGCCTCTTGCAGAACAGAACATAGGTCAGACTCCTGTGCCAGATCTACACACAAGACTGAAGTGTGGAATGTGAGGTGCGTCTTGCAGAACAGAACATAGGTCAGACTCCTGCGTCAGATCTACACACAAGACTGATGTGTGGAATGTGAGGTGTGTCTTGCAGAACAGAACATAGGTCAGACTCCTGTGCCAGATCTACACACAAGACTGATGTGTGGAATGTGATGAGCCTCTTGCAGAACAGAACATAGGTCAGACTCCTGCGTCAGATCTACACACAAGACTGATGTGTGGAATGTGAGGTGCGTCTTGCAGAACAGAACATAGGTCAGACTCCTGTGCCAGATCTACACACAAGACTGATGTGTGGAATGTGTTGAGCCTCTTGCAGAACAGAACATATGTCAGACTCCTGTGCCAGATCTACACACAAGACTGATGTGTGGAATGTGAGGTGCGTCTTGCAGAACAGAACATAGGTCAGACTCCTGTGCCAGATCTACACACAAGACTGATGTGTGGAATGTGATGAGCCTCTTGCAGAACAGAACATAGGTCAGACTCCTGTGCCAGATCTACACACAAGACTGAAGTGTGGAATGTGATGAGCCTCTTGCAGAACAGAACATATGTCAGACTCTTGTGCCAGATCTACACACAAGACTGATGTGTGGAATGTGATGAGCCTCTTGCAGAACAGAACATATGTCAGACTCTTGTGCCAGATCTACACACAAGACTGATGTGTGGAATGTGAGGTGCGTCTTGCAGAACAGAACATATGTCAGACTCTTGTTCCAGATCTACACACAATACTGATGTGTGGAATGTGATGAGCCTCTTGCAGAACAGAACATAGGTCAGACTCCTGCGTCAGATCTACACACAAGACTGATGTGTGGAATGTGAGGTGCGTCTTGCAGAACAGAACATAGGTCAGACTCCTGTGCCAGATCTACACACAAGACTGATGTGTGGAATGTGATGAGCCTCTTGCAGAACAGAACATAGGTCAGACTCCTGTGCCAGATCTACACACAAGACTGATGTGTGGAATGTGAGGTGCGTCTTGCAGAACAGAACATAGGTCAGACTCCCGTGCCAGATCTACACACAAGACTGATGTGTGGAATGTGATGAGCCTCTTGCAGAACAGAACATAGGTCAGACTCCTGTGCCAGATCTACACACAAGACTGATGTGTGGAATGTGATGAGCCTCTTGCAGAACAGAACATAGGTCAGACTCCTGCGTCAGATCTACACACAAGACTGATGTGTGGAATGTGATGAGCCTCTTGCAGAACAGAACATATGTCAGACTCCTGTGCCAGATCTACACACAAGACTGATGTGTGGAATGTGAGGTGCGTCTTGCAGAACAGAACATATGTCAGACTCCTGCGTCAGATCTACACACAAGACTGATGTGTGGAATGTGATGAGCCTCTTGCAGAACAGAACATATGTCAGACTCCCGTGTCAGATCTACACACAAGACTGATGTGTGGAATCTGAGGTGCGTCTTGCAGAACAGAATATAGGTCAGACTCCTGTGTCAGATCTACACACAAGACTGATGTGTGGAATGTGATGAGCCTCTTGCAGAACAGAACATTGGTCAGACTCCTGTGCCAGATCTACACAAAAGACTGATGTGTGGAATGTGAGGTGCGTCTTGCAGAACAGAACATAGGTCAGACTCCTGTGTCAGATCTACACACAAGACTGATGTGTGGAATGTGAGGTGCGTCTTGCAGAACAGAACATAGGTCAGACTCCTGTGTCAGATCTACACACAAGACTGATGTGTGGAATGTGATGAGCCTCTTGCAGAACAGAACATATGTCAGACTCTTGTGCCAGATCTACACACAAGACTGATGTGTGGAATGTGATGAGCCTCTTGCAGAACAGAACATAGGTCAGACTCCTGTGCCAGATCTACACACAAGACTGATGTGTGGAATGTGAGGTGCGTCTTGCAGAACAGAATATAGGTCAGACTCCTGTGCCAGATCTACACACAAGACTGATGTGTGGAATGTGATGAGCCTCTTGCAGAACAGAACATAGGTCAGACTCCTGTGTCAGATCTACACACAAGAGTGATGTGTGGAATGTGAGGTGCGTCTTGCAGAACAGAACATAGGTCAGACTCCTGTGTCAGATCTACACACAAGACTGATGTGTGGAATGTGATGAGCCTCTTGCAGAACAGAACATAGGTCAGACTCCTGTGCCAGATCTACACACAAGACTGATGTGTGGAATGTGAGGTGCGTCTTGCAGAACAGAACATAGGTCAAACTCCTGTGTCAGATCTACACACAAGACTGATGTGTGGAATGTGATGAGCCTCTTGCAGAACAGAACATAGGTCAGACTCCTGTGCCAGATCTACACACAAGACTGATGTGTGGAATGTGAGGTGCGTCTTGCAGAACAGAACATAGGTCAGACTCCCGTGCCAGATCTACACACAAGACTGATGTGTGGAATGTGAGGTGCGTCTTGCAGAACAGAACATAGGTCAGACTCCTGTGTCAGATCTACACACAAGACTGATGTGTGGAATGTGATGAGCCTCTTGCAGAACAGAACATAGGTCAGACTCCCGTGCCAGATCTACACACAAGAGTGATGTGTGGAATGTGAGGTGCGTCTTGCAGAACAGAACATAGGTCAGACTCCTGTGTCAGATCTACACAAAAGACTGATGTGTGGAATGTGATGAGCCTCTTGCAGAACAGAACATATGTCAGACTCTTGTGCCAGATCTACACACAAGACTGATGTGTGGAATGTGAGGTGCGTCTTGCAGAACAGAACATATGTCAGACTCTTGTGCCAGATCTACACACAAGACTGATGTGTGGAATGTGAGGTGCGTCTTGCAGAACAGAACATATGTCAGACTCTTGTGCCAGATCTACACACAATACTGATGTGTGGAATGTGATGAGCCTCTTGCAGAACAAAACATATGTCAGACTCCTGCGTCAGATCTACACACAAGAGTGATGTGTGGAATGTGAGGTGCGTCTTGCAGAACAGAACATAGGTCAGACTCCTGTGCCAGATCTACACACAAGACTGATGTGTGGAATGTGATGAGCCTCTTGCAGAACAGAACATAGGTCAGACTCCCGTGCCAGATCTACACACAAGACTGAAGTGTGGAATGTGAGGTGCGTCTTGCAGAACAGAACATAGGTCAGACTCCTGTGCCAGATCTACACACAAGACTGATGTGTGGAATGTGATGAGCCTCTTGCAGAACAGAACATATGTCAGACTCTAGTGCCAGATTTACACACAAGACTGATGTGTGGAATGTGAGGTGCGTCTTGCAGAACAGAACATATGTCAGACTCTTGTGCCAGATCTACACACAAGACTGATGTGTGGAATGTGAGGTGCGTCTTGCAGAACAGAACATATGTCAGACTCTTGTGCCAGATCTACACACAAGACTGATGTGTGGAATGTGATGAGCCTCTTGCAGAACAGAACATAGGTCAGACTCCTGCGTCAGATCTACACACAAGAGTGATGTGTGGAATTTGAGGTGCGTCTTGCAGAACAGAACATAGGTCAGACTCCTGTGCCAGATCTACACACAAGACTGATGTGTGGAATGTGATGAGCCTCTTGTAGAACAGAACATAGGTCAGACTCCTGTGCCAGATCTACACACAAGACTGATGTGTGGAATGTGAGGTGCGTCTTGCAGAACAGAACATAGGTCAGACTCCCGTGCCAGATCTACACACAAGACTGATGTGTGGAATGTGATGAGCCTCTTGCAGAACAGAACATAGGTCAGACTCCTGTGCCAGATCTACACACAAGACTGATGTGTGGAATGTGATGAGCCTCTTGCAGAACAGAACATAGGTCAGACTCCTGCGTCAGATCTACACACAAGACTGATGTGTGGAATGTGATGAGCCTCTTGCAGAACAGAACATATGTCAGACTCCTGTGTCAGATCTACACACAAGACTGATGTGTGGAATGTGAGGTGCGTCTTGCAGAACAGAACATCGGAGGACAGCTGGCTGGAACAGAATGGATTTGTTCCATGTCTGTTTCCTCTTTTTCAGTTTGTGCATTCTACCAATTACTATTAAAGACATTCAACGGGTTTTTCATGTCCTTAATAAGCCCATTTAGTGGAGTATGCTTCGACATCGGCATCCGTAATGATTTTAAAGCTGTGATCCCAATTGGCAGGAGGTTGCTCGGGATATTTTGGTCCATATTTGAATAAATGACGATGGCTGTTTTTGTCAACAATATGTGATTATGGTTGGTAGTAGTATGAGAAGTCTTGGCAGACACAAGTAGTGGAATTTACATCATGAGCGGCCAAGTCCACGTTCCGCAACACTTTCCTTGATTGAACAACCTGGATGAAATGGTTGGTGGTTCCTAAAATGTTTTGGAAAACTGATTTTGGTATGAGAATGTAACTTAAATTTAAGGCATCAATTTAATTATCAATTCCAAACCATGTTGAGATGTATTTAACAACTAATAATTATGTTGGCAATCCTTGTTTCATGTGACAATTTATGCGGCATGTAGTCCAAACGTCTTCACTCGGACAACGCACTGCCAGGTGATACAGTGGGGAAGTGACACTACATTAATCCACAAATTGCTTTGTATCTAACAGGAATTAAAGTAGTCATGGAAACATGAGACGTTTGGCACTTAATCACGTTAACACTTCTTTATTAACTCTGTGTTAATACTGGACAATATCAGTTCATGTCATTAGGCCTTAGCCAACTCATGGCACAAATATAGTGCTGTTGAGAATTTTGGAGGTGTGGAAAATATGGAAAATACGACTTAAAATGAAATACGAATAACAACAAATTCGAAACAGACTGTAACATTTTCTCCCTATTACCTGTCCTACTGTATGCATGTTAGGCTAGTAACACCAGGAAAGGACTGTAACATTCTCTCCCTATTACCTGACCACCTGTATGCATGTTAGGCTAGTAACACCAGGAAAGGACTGTAACATTCTCTCCCTATTACCTGACCACCTGTATGCATGTTAGGCTAGTAACACCAGGAAAGGACTGTAACATTCTCTCCCTATTACCTGACCACCTGTATGCATGTTAGGCTAGTAACACCAGGAAAGGACTGTAACATTCTCTCCCTATAACCTGTCCACCTGTATGCATGTTAGGCTAGTAACACCAGGAAAGGACTGTAACATTCTCTCCCTATAACCTGTCCACCTGTATGCATGTTAGGCTAGTAACACCAGGAAAGGACTGTAACATTCTCTCCCTATTACCTGTCCACCTGTATGCATGTTAGGCTAGTAACACCAGGAAAGGACTGTAACATTCTCTCCCTATTACCTGTCCACCTGTATGCATCTTAGGCTAGTAACACCAGGAAAAGACTGTAACATTCTCTCCCTATTACCTGACCACCTGTATGCATGTTAGGCTAGTAACACCAGGAAAGGACTGTAATATTCTCTCCCTATAACCTGTCCACCTGTATGCATGTTAGGCTAGTAACACCAGGAAAGGACTGTAACATTCTCTCCCTATAACCTGTCCACCTGTATGCATGTTAGGCTAGTAACACCAGGAAAGGACTGTAACATTCTCTCCCTATTACCTGTCCACCTGTATGCATGTTAGGCTAGTAACACCAGGAAAGGACTGTAACATTCTCTCCCTATAACCTGTCCACCTGTATGCATGTTAGGCTAGTAACACCAGGAAAGAACTGTAACATTCTCTCCCTATTACCTGACCACCTGTATGCATGTTAGGCTAGTAACACCAGGAAAGGACTGTAACATTCTCTCCCTATTACCTGTCCACCTGTATGCATGTTAGGCTAGTAACACCAGGAAAGGACTGTAACATTCTCTCCCTATTACCTGACCACCTGTATGCATCTTAGGCTAGTAACACCAGGAAAAGACTGTAACATTCTCTCCCTATTACCTGACCACCTGTATGCATGTTAGGCTAGTAACACCAGGAAAGGACTGTAACATTCTCTCCCTATAACCTGTCCACCTGTATGCATGTTAGGCTAGTAACACCAGGAAAGGACTGTAACATTCTCTCCCTATAACCTGTCCACCTGTATGCATGTTAGGCTAGTAACACCAGGAAAGGACTGTAACATTCTCTCCCTATTACCTGTCCACCTGTATGCATGTTAGGCTAGTAACACCAGGAAAGGACTGTAACATTCTCTCCCTATTACCTGTCCACCTGTATGCATCTTAGGCTAGTAACACCAGGAAAAGACTGTAACATTCTCTCCCTATTACCTGACCACCTGTATGCATGTTAGGCTAGTAACACCAGGAAAGGACTGTAATATTCTCTCCCTATAACCTGTCCACCTGTATGCATGTTAGGCTAGTAACACCAGGAAAGGACTGTAACATTCTCTCCCTATAACCTGTCCACCTGTATGCATGTTAGGCTAGTAACACCAGGAAAGGACTGTAACATTCTCTCCCTATTACCTGTCCACCTGTATGCATGTTAGGCTAGTAACACCAGGAAAGGACTGTAACATTCTCTCCCTATAACCTGTCCACCTGTATGCATGTTAGGCTAGTAACACCAGGAAAGAACTGTAACATTCTCTCCCTATTACCTGACCACCTGTATGCATGTTAGGCTAGTAACACCAGGAAAGGACTGTAACATTCTCTCCCTATTACCTGTCCACCTGTATGCATCTTAGGCTAGTAACACCAGGAAAAGACTGTAACATTCTCTCCCTATTACCTGACCACCTGTATGCATGTTAGGCTAGTAACACCAGGAAAGGACTGTAACATTCTTTCCTATTGCCTGTCCACCTGTATGCATGTTAGGCTAGTAACACCGGGAAAGGACTGTAATATTCACCGATTTGCACATTGCAGGATGTATCAGTTACAGGGGATATGTAACGATCAATCGATGTCCAGTTCTCTACTTCATGATCAATCGATGTCTAGGTCTCTACTTCATGATCAACCTATGTACAGGTCTATTGTTTCATGATCAGTCGATGTCCAGTTCTCTACTTCATGATCAATCGATGTCCAGTTCTCTACTTCATGATCAATCGATGTCCAGTTCTCTACTTCATGATCAATCGATGTCTAGGTCTCTACTTCATGATCAATCGATGTCTAGGTCTCTACTTCATGATCAACCTATGTACAGGTCTTTTGTTTCATGATCAACAGATGTCCAGTTCTCTACTTCATGATCAATCGATGTCCAGTTCTCTACTTCATGATCAATCGATGTCTAGGTCTCTACTTCATGATCAACCTATGTACAGGTCTATTGTTTCATGATCAACAGATGTCCAGTTCTCTACTTCATGATCAATCGATGTCTAGATCTCTACTTCATGATCAACAGATGTCTAGGTCTCTACTTCATGATCAACAGATGTCCAGTTCTCTACTTCATGATCAACAGATGTCTAGGTCTCTACTTCATGATCAACCGATGTCTAGGTCTCTACTTCAAGATCAACCTATGTCTAGGTCTTTACTTCATGATCAACCGATGTCCAGTTCTCTACTTCATGATCAACAGATGTCTAGGTCTCTACTTCATGATCAACAGATGTCTAGGTCTCTACTTCATGATCAACCTATGTCTAGGTCTCTACTTCATGATCAACAGATGTCTAGGTCTCTACTTAATGATCAACCGATGTCTAGGTCTCTACTTCATGATCAACAGATGTCCAGTTCTCTACTTCATGATCAACAGATGTCTAGGTCTCTACTTCATGATCAACAGATGTCCAGTTCTCTACTTCATGATCAACAGATGTCTAGTTCTCTACTTCATGATCAACCTATGTCTAGGTCTCTACTTCATGATCAACCGATGTCTAGGTCTCTACTTCATGATCAACCTATGTCTAGGTCTCTACTTCATGATCAACCGATGTCTAGGTCTCTACTTCATGATCAATCGATGTCTAGGTCTCTACTTCATGATCAACAGATGTCTAGGTCTCTACTTCATGATCAACAGATGTCCAGTTCTCTACTTCATGATCAACCTATGTCTAGGTCTCTACTTCATGATCAACCGATGTCCAGTTCTCTACTTCATGATCAACCGATGTCTAGGTCTCTACTTCATGATCAACCGATGTCTAGGTCTCTACTTCATGATCAACAGATGTCCAGTTCTCTACTTCATGATCAACCTATGTCTAGGTCTCTACTTCATGATCAATCGATGTACATGTTTTTTTGTTTCATTATCAACAGATGTCCAGTTCTCTACTTCATGATCAACAGATGTCCAGTTCTCTACTTCATGATCAATCGATGTCTAGGTCTCTACTTCATGATCAACCGATGTCCAGTTCTCTACTTCATGATCAACATATGTCTAGGTCTCTACTTCATGATCAATCGATGTCTAGGTCTCTACTTCATGATCAATCGATGTCTAGGTCTCTACTTCATGATCAACAGATGTCTAGGTCTCTACTTCATGATCAACCTATGTACAGGTCTTTTGTTTCATGATCAACAGATGTCCAGTTCTCTACTTCATGATCAATCGATGTCTAGGTCTCTACTTCATGATCAACCGATGTCTAGGTCTCTACTTCATGATCAACCTATGTCTAGGTCTCTACTTCATGATCAACCGATGTCTAGGTCTCTACTTCAATATCAACCTATGTATAGGTCTTTTGTTTCATGATCAACAGATGTCCAGTTCTCTACTTCATGATCAATCGATGTCTAGGTCTCTACTTCATGATCAACCGATGTCTAGGTCTCTACTTCATGATGAACAGATGTCCAGTTCTCTACTTCATGATCAATCGATATCCAGTTCTCTACTTCATGATCAATCGATGTCTAGGTCTCTACTTCATGATCAACCTATGTACAGGTCTCTACTTCATGACCAATCGATGTCTAGGTCTCTACTTCATGATCAACCGATGTACAGGTCTTTTGTTTCATTATCACCAGATGTCTAGTTCTCTACTTCATGATCAACCTATGTCTAGGTCTCTACTTCATGATCAACCGATGTCTAGGTCTCTACTTCATGATCAACCTATGTCTAGGTCTCTACTTCATGATCAACCGATGTCTAGGTCTCTACTTCATGATCAATCGATGTCTAGGTCTCTACTTCATGATCAACAGATGTCTAGGTCTCTACTTCATGATCAACAGATGTCCAGTTCTCTACTTCATGATCAACCTATGTCTAGGTCTCTACTTCATGATCAACCGATGTCCAGTTCTCTACTTCATGATCAACCGATGTCTAGGTCTCTACTTCATGATCAACCGATGTCTAGGTCTCTACTTCATGATCAACAGATGTCCAGTTCTCTACTTCATGATCAACCTATGTCTAGGTCTCTACTTCATGATCAATCGATGTACATGTTTTTTTGTTTCATTATCAACAGATGTCCAGTTCTCTACTTCATGATCAACAGATGTCCAGTTCTCTACTTCATGATCAATCGATGTCTAGGTCTCTACTTCATGATCAACCGATGTCCAGTTCTCTACTTCATGATCAACATATGTCTAGGTCTCTACTTCATGATCAATCGATGTCTAGGTCTCTACTTCATGATCAATCGATGTCTAGGTCTCTACTTCATGATCAACAGATGTCTAGGTCTCTACTT